TTTTGCGGAACCAGGGATTGAACTCAGGCCTTTGCGCTTGCTGGGCAAGCGCTTATTCTACTGAGCCATCTCCCCGACCCCTCCATTCTTGACAGGCGTTCAGTTTCTGCCTTGAAATGACCCTACCCTGGACTGAGTCGTGAGAAACTGTAAGCCAAAATAAATCCCTCCCGTTTGCAGTAATTGGCATCAGGTGTTTTGTTCCAGCACTTGGAAAGGGATTGATACAGGGATGTAAATATGTACGTCTCTGGTAAAGTCTATTAAAAAGGAGACCTCTAATTGTAAAAAGATAGAAGTTCATCACATAGCTCGTTCATCTACACTCCACATCTGGATTCCTGCCATAAATAGCTAAATATATAACTTAGCACAGGCCCAAAGGAAAACTGAATAAATTAATATCTATGGAAAGTGGTAAGGTAAGCTCCAGGGAATAGAGTGCCTGATGTTAGTTTATATTTTCCTATTGTAATGTGCTCAACTCTCCAAGCACTCTACCTTCACTTCTCCGTGTTTTACTACTCGGGTTACATGACAGGAGCCCCAACTACTGCCTCGGAAGGAGGGTATGTTCTGAGGGTGCCTCACGGGAAATGAGAAGTGGAAAAAAATCTCTTTATTTTATTTTATTTTTAACAGGGGAGACCACGAACGCAGTCCCCCACTACCACAAATTAATGCAGTTGAGTTTCCCACATTTGGGGAAATCGCAGGGGTCAGCACATCTGGAGTGTAATAGATAAGTCTCGCCCTGAGAAAACCACCTTCGTGATCATGGTGTCTAAGAATAGGAAAAAAAAATCTTGCACTCCAGCTGAGTCCCCCGCAATCACCAACAAGGTTGTTACAATAATTGTTTACATTAATTGTTTTAATTTTAGGAGTATCATTTCCCCTTTTATTCTTAGGTGTACATTTATGGGTGGTAAGAGAGAACATTTTATAACTTCAAATTTCATTCAGTACATTGTAGTTTAAAGTAATTAAAAAGCCAATCCAATAACTAATTTTGGAAAAATGACTCATTTAAAAGCACATGTCCATTATGGACCAGTGTATGTCTCTGGGAACTAAATATAAGACACTGGGGACTAAACAAAGCTGTTTGGCTTCCTTATTTATTTATTTATTTATTTATTTATTTATTGTATTTTTAGGGAAGGATCTACATGTGTTCAAGGTCTCACTTCTAGATTGGACTCATAGTGATTCTCCTGTTTACAGCCTCCCTAGTGCTGGGATTGCAGGCGCCACCACTAGGCCCAGTCTCATTTGCCATCTCAGGGAGCTCCTGGGGTGGTGCCGACACAGCAGGCCCTGGGAACTGAACCCCTCGCCCCTGTACCTGCTTGCAGGAGCTTTAATCCGCTGAGCTATTTGACTGGCCCCTGTTTGGCTATTTTTAATATCTGGGAAAATAACTAAGTTATTTTCAAAATTATTCATTATCATTCTCATTTTAATACATAGCATTATCAGAAAATCTTTTTAATAAAAATTTCCTACTTAAAACAAAGGGAAACTACACTGGCCTCAGAGACTTTGAGGAGCCACATATTACTAGTGGTAAAAATGAGACAGTAGAACTATCCTCAGTCTGACAAAGGGTACAGGGAAAGACAAAAATGAGATAAAAGTAGACTACAAAGAGAGACTTGCTCCTTCTTTATTATCAATAGAAAACATTAATGACTTGCTTCTCAACACTCACAGTATTTATTATAAAATTACTGAACAATTGAGGGCCATTTTAAAAATAATACTGATGGAGACCTTTTGGGGAGTATAAGAAAATACCTGTGCTTCGGCGTTGCACGCAGCACTGTACCACTGTACCGACTCTCCACAAGCACCTTTGGAAAACTGCAGTAGGATTTTGGACTTAGTGAGACAGACTTTTCATTAAGTCCTTCGTCTTCAATCCTCTCTATGTAATGATACATACTGAAAGAAAAACAGAAGCTGAAAACTGATCACGCATTTTCCAATGCAGAGAACCAAAGCGTCTCTGTGAATGCCAGAAGAGACCTCGACTTGTCCCACATCCTTCCCCCTGGGGACACTGTCCCGTCCCTGCCATCAGCCCCACAAGTATCTGGTTTGTTTACGTTGTGTCCATATTACAGGTATCAGAAGCATTTGCATACCAAACGCACGTGATTTATTTAAGTGATGATAACGAGTCAGGTGACTAAATATATCGACTGTGTGCCACCATCACTGTATCGAAGCACCCAAAAATTGAGAATTTTTTGTCCGCCACTATAAACATTCACTCATAACTTTAACATCCACTCACAACTTTGTAGTTAAATGTAGTATTGGTTCTCAGAGCAAGGATACAAAGGGAATATTGAAACGTGAGCTTCACATAGACCCACCTAAGACCAGCACCATGAATGCCAATGTAATGTGAAAGCCCTCCACACGTGATACATTATTAAGCATTGTAGTGTGAGAAAGCGAAGTCCAAAAATTGGAATTTCTACCGTATGAAAAATAAACCATGCAATGATATAGTTGGAAATAATGTCTTTGGCCTCCATGAGCCATTCATTCCTTCCAACATTTATGGAGTTCCTACGAAGTGCCAGACACTGTTTCAAGCACCTAGTTAGAACAAAGACAATAAAAAGTTCCCTGACTCCATGAGACATATATTCTCATTGGGAGAATAGATGACAAACAACTTTGTAAAATGTCAGCAGATGTTAGTGCTTTGGAAAAAATAAGTTGTGTTAAATGCAACACAGTGTGATCAGTGAGGAGTTCATATTTTATCAATAGTCAGAGATGTCTTCTCTAATAGGAAGACACTGAGCAGAGACTTACAGTTAGCAAAGATACCTGAGTGCACAAGATTCCAGATAGAGCATGTAGAAAAAGGGGCTAGAAGTCAGTTCACCTTGTTTTGAGAACTAGAGTGTCTCGAGTAGACCAAGGGGGCAAGCAAGAAGACCTTATGTAAGATCTCTTATTTTGAGACACGTGGCCAGATATTGGAAGGTTTATGCAAAATTAATACAATCAGACCTAAGTATAAAAGATGGCCCTACTGTATAGGTAATAGCCTGAAGTACACAGACAGGAAAATAGGAGGCCAGCTGACTAGCCAGGCAACAATCTCAGTAGGGGCCACTGGTGTACCCGCTCAATCTCCAGCAGTGTTTTCATACACAAAATACAAAAAAGATTAGTCAGAGGTTTTTTGACCACCTAACTAAAGACTGTTTCCAAAAGGGAAAAAATATGACGACAAAATGAAAGTGGTGAAGGATTAGCTGCAGATATAGATCAAGCAAAACTGGACCAAAGTTTTGGGTGGACTGATAGTGTGGAATAGTTCCTCAAGATGTTGGAATATTTTTTTGTGATGAGATGATTTTATGACAGTCTACATAAGCTAGGATGTTAAGATATTTGGAATATCACATTCTGAGGTTTCCTCACTATCTGTCAGTGAGAAATTTTATGCCTTCTTCAAAATATGCCTACTACTGATTTTTTTCCTTTCCTCTGAAACACACTCTAAGAAAATTTGCATATTCTTCGGATTAAAACAAGTTGCATAATGGTGGCTACTGTTGTACATGCATACAGAAATGATACAAAATTAAAGTAATACAGAAAATTTTCACAGAAAAATGATATAAAATAAACCTCTTAAGAACCCCAAGATGGGGTAGAAAAGGGAAAGGGGAAGAAAAAAGATGGATCACTGGGGCTGGGAAGATAGCTGAGTGGAGTAAGTGTTTGCCTGGCAAGCACAAGATCCTAAGTTCGATCCCTAGTACCATGAAAAAAAAAATGTCATTAGCAAGTACCAACTTCCCATGGAGCCCTTAAGCATCCTTAACCACTCAAAAAAGTTGAGAAGAAAGTAGAACCTAAGTGAGTATCAGGAAATCTTTAAATTCTTTTCAGGACCGTCCTTTGTTTGTGACGTTGTAAGTTCATTTTCATAATCTGCTTTAAAAAAGTTAGGGTGTTCTAATGGCCTAATCCTTTTAGATTTATGTTAGAAAAATCTTGAAAAGGAACCACTAAAGTCTTAAATAAAATTTAAATCAACACTATCTTCTGTAAAGTATATCTTAAGTCTTCCAAGACAGAAGTTGAAGGAAATTGGGGAACATTAATAAACTAACAATGCTGAGCGCTTTGTAACCCCTGGAGACCCATTTGCTCACAGCACTGGGCTTTTCCAACCCTAAGTTCTACTCAGTCTTGCTAATGAAAATAATTTGCCATAGCAGAAAGAAATGAAGACATCAGTTCTTACAATACAGTCATCAATATGAGAAGACGGTGTGCACTAGACATTCTTGGCAGAAACAGGACGAGAGAAGAACATACCTGATCGGAAAGCTGAAGTTGAGCTTTAGTTAAGTATTGGTTCAAAAATGCACATTCCAAATACCAAAACAATTCAACCTGGGAGCTTATTGGTGACTTAGGGGGAAAAGGTGCATTTTAAATAAAATTATGTACATGTAGATAAAGTGAAATAATCCTGGAGTTCCAATTGTATGTGGCAAGTTGAAATAAACTACTACAAGTCTATTTAGAAAGCAAGCACAATTTAGAATTGTGAAACACAAAAGTAAAAACTGAGTCATGTTCCATAAATCACTAGAGTAGGACACTGTTTTCAAAATAAAACAGAGATGATACCAGCATCCACCACTAAAAGCATGTTATGTTAGCTGAGCAGTAAATATCTGTATGACTATACAGAATCTCTAATCACTCCAATAGAAATTTGAAATTACATTCCTAAAATCTCTGTGGTCAAAATTTAATAATACTATATTTGAAGAAACAGTAAATTCCTCAAGCAACTCTTTAAATAAAAAATACCTGCAAAGAATGTTACCCACGAAAATACATCACATCAGACACGTAAGTTTACTTTTGTTTTAATAGCACTAATATCGCCATGTAACAAAGCTAAATCTTCTTTAAACATCTCTCTCCAACTCCTTCAATCTCCATACTCTCATACTCCTGTATCTCTTTGTTTTTCCACAAAGGTAGTTACTTTTTCTCTGCTTGCTTTGCCTGGTCAATGTGGGGCCAGGCGTGGATAAGCACAGGGCACAGGGCAGAACAAGACACGCAAAACGCAGCAAAGGCCCGGACGGGGCAAGCAAAGGTGCAAGAGAAAACGCCCACGTCTTCATTGCATCAAGAAGCTTATCTACTAGGAAAGAGCAGTCCCCAGGACAAGACGCCCCACAATGTGAACATGTGTGCAATTTTAAAACAATGAATTCTCATCCAACCAATGTCCAGTTAATTCTTAAAAATGGTATTTTTAGACCTCCCTCCCCTAGCTATGCTTCAGATATAAGAGAAAGCAAAATAAGAAGTTAATAAGGCCTACTTCAAAGTTGTAAAAAAAATAAATGAAAAAGATAAAAGGAATAAAACAGTAATGCAACAATGAAGGTAACCTTAAATGTTAAATTTCACTGAACAACAACAACAAAAATACCCAGGAAACTTTAGTTCAATTGAGAGAGTATAAGAATGTTACAACTTGAGTCAAAGTATATTAAAAGATATAGAGTTGTACCCAGAAAAATGTTTATTTGATCTGAAAAAGGAAAATAACTGACACCATGCAAAATTCTAGGTAGGTATTAAATCATGCACAAGCCATGAGCACTGGAATATATATTTTTTTAAGTTTCAAACCCCTGAATTTCCATTACAGAAGGCTTAAGAATATATACAATAGTCATTCTTGGTTGTGTTTATTAAGTGTTTTGGGTTTTTTTTTTTTTTTTTTTTGAA